CACAGTGTGGTGTATCCATACAATGGAATATCACTCAGTCATAAAGAGAAACAGCCCAGTGTCCACCCACAGAGGATGGAGACACACAGTGTGGTCCATGCACACAATGGAATATCACTCAGTCATAAAGAGAAACAGCCCAGTGTTCACCCACAGAGGATGGAGACACACAGTACAATACTCCTCAGCAGGATTCATTAAGAATAAAGCCCTGTTGCATGCTTCCACGTGGAGAAGCCTTGAAAACATGCTCAGCAAAATAAGACCAATGCAAAAGGGCAAATCCTGTATGATCTGACTTGTAACACAGGCAAATACATGAAAACCAAAGATTGTTCGTGCTAACCAGGGTGACAGGAGTGGGCAGGGTAAGGACAGTTTTGCTTCTGGGGCACTGAGTTTCTGCTCACGGTGGTGAAATAATTTGGGAAAGGATAGCTGTGGATTAATATGCTGGACTGCAAGCTTGTTTTGAACCTCAAGGTCAGTGGTTTAAGGTGACTAGCCGCTCTCAGAAACCCTGTACAGGGTTGCTATGAGTCAGAACCAGCTTGATAGCACTTACGAACAACCACAGGGCAGAATGCACACGGGAATGTAATTAACATCACTGAACTGTACAAGAGAGCTTTCTGTTCTGTTATATATATATATATTATCATTGCAGTCAGGGTCTCCTCCTGATGGTTTCTCCTCAACACCCCAGTGCAGCCACGGCAGGCAGATGTGGCTGGGCACTCACCCAGCTCCAGGAGGTGACCCCGCCTTGGGGGCCTGCCAAAGCCAGTGCTTGGGCTCCTCCTGAGGGGCAGGAAGGAAGCCCAGGGCATGGTCTTGGCAGAAGATAAGGTTCTTTCCCAACAGCCTCAAACCTGCAACCTCAGATGGTGTCCTGGTTTCCAGATACCCACCCCCACAGAGAGGAGGCTGGCAGGGGGTCCATGGGGAGCACCCTGACACTCAACACTGTGCAAACACCCGAGCCTGGGGGTCAGGCAGGCAAGCATTTCAGCCCTGGCTTCAGCCAAGCCAGGGGACGTTGGTTTCTACGTTTGTGAAATGTTGACTCTTCACACCAGCTCTATGCCTCTGATCAGAATAGCACCCCACCATCAACTCACCCCTCAACCTGAGCTTGGGCCTGACCTCACCTAGGAAACCACTCCGAGTTGTCGGTGTCTAACCAGTGATGGGCTGGAAAATACTTAGCAACCGCCTTTCTTGGGGGGTGGGAATACCCTTATCTGTTGTTGTTAAGCGCCATCGACTCACTTCCGACCCATAGCGACCCTGTATAGAGTTTCCAAGGAGCAGCTGGTGAGCTTGAACTGCCAACCTTGCTGTAAAACGGCTTTGCAGTCTGGCGCATTAATGCACAGCGCCACATCTGTAGTGTTGGCCAATTCCCATGGTATAAACACTCCCATGTGACTGGTTTCAAGTTGCCAACCTGAAGATAGAGTTAGGAAGAGGTGGCAGAGCTCAATGTTTCTAATATGTTGATACAAATGGCTTCATTAGGATGCAATGTTTCTAAAGTGGAGGGTCAGCAAAAAACAGGAAGACCCTCCCCCCAATGAAATGGATTGACATGGTGGCAGCAGCCATGGGCTCAAGCGTAGCAATGATTGTGAGAACCCGGTAATGTTTTATTCTGTTGTGCATAGGGTTGCTATGAGTCAGAACCAATTCATTCAACTCCACCTAACAACATGATCTATTGCTAACGTTTTGACACAAAAGAGGTCATTATGATACAATGTTTCTAAAGTGGGCAGTCAGTGAAAAAGAGGAAGACTTCCAATCAGCCCAAGATGGACTGACCCAGTGGCTGCAACAGAGGGTCGAACCAGAACAATTGTGAGGTTGACACAGGACCAGGCAGTGTTTCGTTCTGTTATGCATTGGGTCACTGTGAGTCGGAACTGATGGGACAGCAATTAACAACGACTGGGTTCAACAACAGGCTGGTAAGCTCTCTGATAAGTTAACAGTTCTGTGAGGCTGAGGTCTGCTGTGTTGGGGTGCCTCTCTGGGATGGCAGCACCCCCAGGGCAGGGCTGGACCTCAGCAGCCCTCTAGCACCAGTGCCCTGTTTGGGACAGCAGGTAGAAGTTGGGAAACTGAGTACCAACATCATAGGGCGAGTTGTAGGACAAAGAGAGAGAATGAATATGAAGGGGTTTGTTCTGACAGGGAGTCCTTGAGTGGTGCAAAGAGCTAAAATATCCAGCTGCTCACTGAAAAGATGTCAATTTGTGTCTACCCAGAAGTGCTGCAGAAGAAAGACCTGGCAATCTACTTCTGAAAAATCAGTCACAGGAAACCCTATGAAGCTCATTCTCCTCTGACATACCTGGGGTCACCCATGAGTTGGGGCTGACTTCACAGTAAGTGGGTGCAGGCTGCTCTAGACTGTGCCCCTCAAAACCTGTACCCTCAGACTAAATTCAGATTGTTAGTCCCCCCTTCTCCCGCAGTCTTGCCACCAGTGCACACACCCCACTGAGGCCCCTCATGGGCCCCCCGCCCCCCACCCTGGGGTCTGCTAATGTTCTCACCTCTCACGCATCAACTCCCCCACCCCCATCCTTCCAGCCTGCTGGGCTCAGCGGGAGAGACATGTCTGGCTCAGACCACCCTGGCACAGCTTGGGTCCCTGAGCAGCCAGCTAGCTCTGGTCCCTGCAGCAGAGGAGGGTGTGCAGGTTCAGGCGGGTCCAGGTGGGTCTGGACAGAGCTGCATTCCTCACCAGGGACCGTCCCCCACCACCTCCCACCTGGGCTCCATCTGCACCACAGCTGTAGGTGTGTGTCTTCCTTTAGGCGCCTGGAGGAGGGGCTCTGGAAACCACAGCCAGAGAGCCTCTCCTTCCCTTCCCCAGCTGTCCTGTGGCCAAGTCCTCTGCAAAGTTCCTGAGTACTGAGTGGCCACCTCGGGAGCTCCCCAGGATGACACCAGGTCCTGCCCACCAGCCCCCAGTCACACTTTTTTTCCTGTGAGACAGGAAGATGTCTGCGCTGGAAGCCTGGGTGCCAACAAGAATCTGATTCACAGAGGCCCTCAGACGGAACACAAGAGCTCCCTGGGCTTTCTGAGATGAAATCCTCCTCCCAAGGAGCAGCTGGTGGATTCAAACCGCCAACCCTGCAGTTGTCAGCCCAGCATCTAACCCTAACTGACTGAGCCAGAGGTTCCTCCTCAGACTGAGACTTCTGCCACAGCAGGCCTGGAGGGGGCGCTCTTGACATCCTGAGGGGGTCCTGGGATGCTGCCCCCTCCCTGGACAGAGAACATGTCACCGAAAGAAGGGCATCAAATCCTGGTCAGGACAAGCCTCCTGGGGAGACCCCTGCTGACCTGCCCCTGCTGCTCAAGGACGGCCCTTCTGGGATCCAAGGTAAGCACCGTGTCTCCTTGCTTACTGAGCACCTACTGTATACTGAGCAGTGTTAGTCATCTTCAGGGCCTGGGGTTACTGCTCTGCCACCGTGACCACAGACGTCCCACTGTCCCCGTCAGACACCGTATGTACAGCCATGCCCCCCACTACAGAGCCGTGCCCTTCCCATGAAGGCACCCCCCCCCCCCCACCAAGGAGGTAGAGCCCCTACCAGGGAAAAGGCGTCCTTGGCCGAGTCCTGCTGGTTTGGCCCCACTGCCCCCACACTGCTGAGTCCACCTGCTTGTCGATGCTGTCCCCCCCACCCCCACATGGTCCAAGTCTCCTTCATCTCTTGTCCCCATGAGCAACACATCCAATTAGACTGGACCTCACGTCAGCGCAGCGAGGGCTTGTTCCATAGTACATCGAGTCACGTTCACTTACCCACCACCCTGAAATCCATGCTCTCAGGCGAAGACCCAACCTGCTCAACACAGCCCAGCACCCTGCAAAGCCTGGCCCAACCTCAACTTCACCACGTTCACCATCCTGACCTCCTTGGTCATTGTTGCTATGGTTAAGTGCCGTCGAGCCAGTCCCCACTCATAGCAACCCTGGATAGGGTTTCTGAAAAGTGACTGGTGGTTTTGAACTGCTGAC